CAGGGAATTCCATTGGGAACGATCTTACATTATTTCCAAGATTTTCCCAGGAAAGCTGACTGCCAAATTTTTCCTGTTGATGGTTGCCATCAGCTCAGAATCTGCTCAGCATTAACCATGAAACGGTTAGAAAGGGCTAAGTCTGTGATCTCCCAGGAACATGCCCTCTGTATCCTCATGTACATCGCTGCTCAAATCTTTCTTAACAACAGGGAATGGCTTGTTATATTCTAGGCTTTTCTGTAACAAAACCCAACATTTTACTCATTGTTCTCCAACAAAATATACACCATCAGTCTTTACAGTACATCCCGTGAAGCATTTTGGGACATCCTTGGCCCAACTAGTCCATGGTCGTGCTTATATTCTACACAAACCTCCTATTCCCTTCTCTCTCGTGTGTGCATGAAGTATTCCCTTAAATACACAGATGCTCTTAAATACACAGACCAATTGGCTGCCGTGTTTCGCCCATAAAATATACAGTCAAATCACTTTACAGGATATTATGTGAAACGCTTTGAGAGGTCTCGAAGTCGTGACAACGTCTTGAAGGCGCTGTATCAAATAATAATAATAATCCTAGAATTTGATAATCGCTTTTCACGTTTTTGAGACGTCTCAAAGCGCTTCACAGAATTCACTGTAAAGTGAATTGACTGCATTTTTGTGGGCGAAACGCGGCAGCCAATTGTGTACAGCAGCGTCCCACAAACAGTCATGGATTGAAGTGACCAAATTATTATTTTTTTTCTTGAGGGATTATTATCAGGCCTGTGGAGTAAGGAAACTTGCCCAAGTTTTCTCGCTTGTGAGGCGAGTGCTCTTAACTACTGAGCTACAGGACTCCAAATGGAAGGATTATTCTTATTCTTATTATTAGACTTACTAACAAGTGGAAGCAGTCTATCAACCTCCAACTTATTGAATCCTTTCATTATCTTAAACGCCTCTAATTAGAGGAGTAGACCTCTCATGAGTTGCTTGACACTCGCCAGTCGCTTTCAATGGGAAATAAAATATTGGGAGCCTTAGGACTGAGCGGTTTAACTACCTCAAGTTGTTAGTGATGGGAGTAAAATAAGTAAATCAGTGGACAGATAAATCCCTGCAGTGATACTAAACACTTAAATTAAGCCAAGGCAAAATGTGTTTCTGAATCCAATTAAAAACCAATTTAATCTCCAAAAGGGGCCAAGAGATTCCCAATCATCCTAGTTTTCCAGTATCCTCTTAATAATCTACCTTGGGTAAAAAATCTGTAGCTGTTCCTGTTGGGAGTTTTTCCCTCTCCATAATAACAACAACTTGCATTTATATGGTGCTCCTCACGCTGGGTAGCATCCCAGAGCGCTTGACAGTAGCTGAGCACGAGGCAGAGCTCTAAATTGTTTTGAACTTTACCGACACACTCTTATCTTTTATTTCATTGACTCATAGAATCATAGAGTTATACAGCATGGAAGGAGGCCATTCGGCCCATCGTGTCTGTGCCGACTCTTTGAAAGAGCTGTCCAAATTAATCCCACTCCCATGCTCTTACCCCACATCGTCCTGCAAACTTGTCCTCCCCGAATATCTATCTACTTCTCCCTTGAAAGTTGTTATCGAATCAGCTTCCACCCACCGGCCTTTCAGACAATGCATTCCAGATCCAAGCAACTCGGACAATTTCAGTGAAACAAAATCTTATCTCATTCCCTCATGCTTTTTTTGGCAAGGCGGCCACCTAATTGCCATTCGTCGCATCAATCAGAACCAGATTTGAAATCAGTTGCCTCAGAATTCAAAGTGCCTTCTCTCTATCACAGAAACACTATTCTCACCATGAATAGAGCAGTTTTAACCCACTTTCAAGCAATTTGGAATGCAATTTCTGCTGGTCGCTAAGTTACCAACTTCAGTGACATGAATTTATAATGAAATTTCCTCCCTCTTGCGTGGTCAGTAACCTTACTGACACCTCCTTCTAGCAGAGAAGGACTCACAGTTTATAGCTCAACTGGCGTAAAAAATTCTTGAGGCTGGGACTGAAAGGAAATATCACACATTCCCAGTAGGGTGTGATATAAAGAATTGATGGGCTTAAGGCACAATTCATCATGTAACTGGTATTATGCCTGACCGGCAAATAATAACAATAATCCTTGCATTTGATACAGTGCTTTATCACGTCGTCGAGACGTCTCAAAGCGCTTCTCAGAATATACGGTAAAGTGAAGTGACTGTGTATTTTGTGGCAGCCAATTGCGGCAGCCAATTGCGCACAGCAGCGTCCCACAAACATGTAATATTATAAATATTTGATGTTGATAAGTGAAAGGAAATTTGAAATTCTCCCTCGCTCCCTCTCTCTGTACTGACATCTCACGCTCGGTTGAACATAACTTCGGTCTAAGCTCGCGCTTGTCAGTGTAAGCTGCAACAGGTTAGCAGATTGGCAACTCCTTGCCTTCTCTAAAGCCATGGGGCTGAGCCTGGGACTGAACAGGCGGCTCTTACAGTGAGTCGCAACAAGAATCCTCCGATGTTGAGAGATTAAGAAAAGGGCAATCCACTCTCTTCCTTTCCCTCTATGGTCCTTTCATCAACGGGCTGTTGCGTGCTGTAAGAATTTACATCAGGGAGAGAACAATAAGAATTATAACATTCAAATATTGGCAAAATATCTGAAACAATCTTAATACGCGTATAATGATTACATACCCCATTGACTTGTGAGTAGCATTTACAAAGCAACACTTGTCTGGCAGTCCTATCTGACAAAAAAAGGCACTGTGAATGCTTCTTAATTCTCGGAATGCATTGTTCTTCAAAAATGTTTTTGGATTAAAAAAAATGACGTTTGCCCTCGAGCGTCAGGTTGAGATACTGCTGATCTCTGTCCCACAGAGCTTTGGGGCAACATCTCAAAGCTGTGTGCCGCTTCTTAATATGAAATGAGAGTTAAAACACTTAAGCCATTGAGTCCCAGTGTCCTGGCCTCAACCGCCTTTCCTGGCCACCCTCTTCCAATCGATAAATGCCCTCTGGGTAGAGAAATACTTTGTGGTGTCTGACCGGAAATTGCCCTTTGCAACTCTAAACCTTGTTTTGTTGCCTCAGTGCAATCCACGACTGTGTGTGGGACGCTGCTGTGCGTAATTGGCTGCCATGTTTCGCCCACAAAATACACAGTCAATACACATTACAGTGTATCCTGTGAAGCGCTTTGAGACATTTTGTACACGTGATAAGGCGCTATATCAAATGCAAGGATTATTAGTATTATCCTCGGGTATTGATCCAGGTTTGGGCTTTTTCCTATTGATAATGTTAAGCATCTCTATGAGGGCTCCTCTGAGTTATCGTCTCTCAAGCCTGAAGAGGCTCCCTGGTTTTGTCTAATCATTGCTCACTGCACATGGGATGGACATGTTGAGTGATTTAACAAAAATGGCCGCCTGGATGCTCTAGTCCATTACATTGTCCATGATGCTGATCAGGTCTACGGGCTGTTTACACTGACCCAATCCAAGCATGTTCTTTCCAAACAAGATAAAAAGTGCTACCATGTGAATAACTCAGAGAGGTAGCTGGGGTTGAAGCAAAAGGTGTCAATGTATTCAAGAGGTTTGCAGGGCTCTGAGGAGAGCGCGGGGAGTGGGATTGAATTGGATGGCTCTTTTCAAAGAGCCAGCACAGATATAATGGGCAGAATGGCCTCCTTCTGTGCTGTATAATTCTATAATTCTATGATTTTAAGTAAGATGATGCACACATAGAATTATAGAATCTTACAGCACAGAAGGAGGCCATTACTTTGTATTCTGCAAAGCGCTTTGAGGCATCTCAAAGACATGATAAGACGCTGTATCAAATGCAAGGATTATTATTATAATCATTAGGCCCATTGGACTTGTGCTGGCTCTTTGAAAGAGCTAGCCAACTTGTCCCACTTCCCCGCTCTTTCCCCATAGCCATGAAAGAGAAGGGAACAGAGGGATTTAAGAGAGGGGAATAGGAGGGGTGGGGGTTAATGTGGATATAAACACCAACATGGGCTAGTTGGACTGACTGAATGTCTCTTACCTCATTGTGTAACTGTTATTCCTAAATAAATTATTTAATCTATTAATTAATAAATAAATTATTAAAAAGAAAAATAAAGAAAAATAAATGTAAATTATTGAAATGAATAATTCCTAAATTATTCCTAAATAATAACAATAATGAACATTGTAACATCTTACTGTTTATCAAAGAGCACTGTGAAAGACTTGGTTACAAGGGACCAACACGTGGAGAGGAGAGACCTTGGGGGAGGGTCCGATCTCTTCCAAAATAAATAGATGTTTCCACGAACTCCACGCCAGTAAAAGGCCCCAGCTGATGATCGAACTCTCAACGTATCCCAGAAGTCTGTACGTGCACTCCTCAGCCACATGGAGTTGATCAAAGGACTACAGCAAGGTTTAATGAAAGAAAAAAATTTGGCCATTTAAAGTTTATAAAGTGTCCCGCCCTTGAAATACGCCTTTCTGCAGGTGCTATGGTTTTCATCAACTCCCTCTCTTTGAGGATTATTAGTTGCTTCCAACCTACTCACGGCACAAAATATGTAGATACTTTTGGATGTTCAAGCAACAGAGTAGGTGGGTTGCTCAGTTTGGTTTGGGCACTGTTAAGCACAGTGATGGGTTTCCGGCTGTCCTCAATGGGACCATAAATGATCGAGTCTTTCACAATGGGTTTCAGACACTCGGCTGACCCGAAAAAATCCAACAGTTTGATAAAATTTAATTGAGGAAACTTCTAGGTTAAGAGCTCTCAACGGATCTCGTTCTTAGAGACACGTTCATGATACTGAGTGTGCTTCATCCTGGATTATCGTGCGCTATATCAAATGAAAGGATTATTATTATAATACTTCTATGTGTAAATTATCGATGTTATTTCCAATGGTGCACCACGAGATGACACATTGACTGAACCTTCACCATTTTGTGTCTCCAAAACAGCTCACAGTCCCCGTTTTTTCTCAACCGCCTTGGATGTGACTTCAAAAACCACGGCGACCGTCGAGATAATGACCACCACAGCTATCCCGAGTTCCCCAAAGCTGATCTGGAAGGGCAACAATGACAACATCATTCCTGTTTATTGCTCCATTCTGGCCGCTGTTGTGGTGGGACTTGTGGCGTACGCTGCTTTCAAACGGTAAGTCTCTGGTCTTATCTCTTTTAATATGTAAAAGAATATATAATTCTTTCACCCACAAAATATGCAGTCAATTACGGTATATTTTATGAAGTGCTTTGAGACGTCTCAAAGATTTGATAAAGCGCTATATCAAATGCAAGGGTTATTAGTAATATTATTTTGGGAGTTGACAGATTGTTCAGAACTCTGGCTGTGGATGGAGGGATAAGGTCAAGTTGGCCAAAGGGCCTTCTTCATCCAAACCAATCTCATGATTTTGTGATGTGTCAGGGATGTGAGCCTAAAAGGACTGGAAAGACAACAAAGTAGGGAGTCTCAAACAGGATGTTGGAGAATATCTACATTTTAGATACAGTGTAGGCTGTCGTTAGCGCTGCTCAGCAAATTATTGGTTCATTCCGGCTTCGAACCGCTGCCCACAACGGATTAGATTACAAGAGGAGAGAATTCCCCAGGCAAGGAGAGCTGATGTGGGAAGCTGCATTGTTGGCTTTTTCGTGCAAGCTTTTCCAGAGTTGGTTAGGTTGACACCTGGAGAAACTAAGAGTGACCAAGTGTTTAAAAGGTCACATTCCTCTCTCTGCTAGGCTGCTTTACGTAGAGCACACATCTCCCTCATGTCTAGGTTATGTAAATGTGCCACTTAGTAAATGGTGATAATAATAATAATCCTTATATTTGATATAGCGCCTTATCACGTCGGCTAGATAGCACAAAGCGCTTCAAGGATACACTGTAAAGTGAATTGACTCTATATTTTTGTGGGCGAAATGCGGCAGCCAATTGTTAAGAGAGAAACATTCACCATATGCACAATTGTGCCTTTGGGGTGAAAAATACGACATTTCATCAAATCAAATTGAATGTAGGGGGTGAAAATTGTGATTTTTTTAAATAACAATTTTGATTCAATAATTCTCATCTGTTATAATAATAATAATAATGATAATCTTTGCATTTGACATAATGCCTTATCATGTTTGCGAGACATCTCAAAGCGTTTCAGTGGTTTCTACTGTGAAGTGTAGTGACTGTGTGTTTTATGGATAATAATAATAATAATAATAATAATAATAATCCTTGCATTTGATATAGCGCTTTTCATGTTGGGAGGACGTCCCAAAGCGCTTCAAAGCATTGTAAAGTGAATTGACTGTATATTTGTGGGCAAACGTGGCAGCGAATTCAATGTCCCACAAACAGTCGTAGATTGAAAATGACCAATTTATTATTGTTTTTGGTTTTGGAGGAATTATTATTAGGCTCTGTGTGGAGTAAGGAAACTTGCCCAAGGTTTCGCCCTCTGCCTGGAATTCAACTCAGGTGTCTCACTTGCAAAGCGAGTGCTCTAACCACTGAGCTACAGGACTTCACGATGAATTTGGTGACCAATTTGCAGTAGCAATGCTTCACACACAGACATGAAATGAATGTCCCAATTTTTTTATCTGGGGGATTGTTGGCAAGGACATGTTCTGAAACGTCACCACATTTTACCATCCCACAGTTTTATAAACCTGTTGATTAACCTGATTAACCAAAAAGGTGGCTTCAGAAACAGTATACTGCCACTTACATAGAATAGAAATATATGCTCTCTCTTTCTCTCTCCAACATTATGTTTCTACCATCCTCTCTCTTACTCGTTCAACGTCTCTCATCCTCTCTCACTCTCTCCAACTCATTCACTCTTTTCGCTCACTCTCTCTCTCGCTCTCTTGGACTATAGTCCATGCTGCCTTATGCTTGGGCTAGTTTGTGCTGTGTTAGCCCACAACCACGCCCTATGCCCCGAAACTATGGAATTCTCTCCCTAGATCCCTCCACCGTGCCCCCTTCCTCGCTCCCCACCTTCAATTTCCACCTAAAGCCCTTCCTCTTTGATCGTGCTTATGGTCACCTCCCCCCTCCCTCTCCCCCTGGCTCGTTGTCAGACTCCGTCACTCTGAAGCGCTCCGGGACCCTATCCCGCGAAGGGCGCTAAACAAATGCAAGTTGTTGTTGTCATTTTGTCCTCCTGGGGTTCGCTTTGAGGTTCCTGATCTCATTTCCCTTCTGCCCTTTGCTCCTAGATGGAACAGCTGCAAACAGAACAAGCAGGGAGCGAATAACAGGACAGTAAACCAGACCCCGTCACCGGAGGGGGAGAAACTACACAGCGATAGCGGAATCTCGGTGGATGGTCAGAGTCTACATGAGCAACAACAACAACAGAAGCAACAACAGCAGCAACAACAACAACAGCAACAGCAGCAGCAAAAGAGCCAAGGTGGGTGCAAGAATAAGTCCATATTCGATGGAATATCAGATGCTTTTTGAACACTGTTGTCACACTGTGCGTAAGACAACTATAATAATAATAATCCTTGCCTTTAATACAGCGCCTTATCATGTCTTCAAGACGTCTCAAAGGGCTCACAGGATACACTGTAAAGTGAATTGACTATATTTTGTGGGTGAAACGCGGCAGCGAATTGTGCATAGCAGCGTCCCACAAACATTGGTGGATTGAGGGACCAAATTCTTCTTCTTTTTATTTTTATTTTCATCCGAGGGTTGTATTTCATTGTCCTCGATGGGCTTTTTGTCATATCACGTTTTATTCTTTTCTTACTTCTGAAAATTTGGTTAAACAGATGAATACTGTATTATGTTTGATCAGTGGCTTGTGTTTAAGAGCTAAAAGATGTCTAGATCAGCAGTCAGAAACAGTGATAAATCCAAACCAGTTTGGAAAATTGCAATCCTCTTGTGTGGATCGTTTGTCAAGGTGTCTGCCTGAACAGGCAGCTTCAAGGGCTATAAATAAAGGGTAGAGAGCAGCTTAGAAGCCATTAACCAAATCCTCTATTCTGTCTTGCCGATGAGACACTGTCATTCTAAACTGTAAAAGGCTTTACAAGGGAAGCTTTAATTCAGAAAGCAATCGGAGAATGATGTTCACAGTTGTAGCTGATGGGGCCTTTGCCAGGAATCGCCCTCTAGTCAATCAAGTCATTAATTTGGAATAACTGTTTCTTGCTTGGCTTATGGACGACCATGAATGATTTACACACTGTGCAGAAATTAACTGATGCGTTCACCTATAAAATACTCAATCACACTGCTTTGCAGTAAGCAAGATCCTGTGAAACGCTTTGAGACGTCTCGAAGACGTGATAAGGCCCTAAACTGCAAGGATTATTATATCAAATACAAGCATTATTATTATCTTGACAATGTGATAAGGCGCTACATCAACAGGCAAATGTTATTATTATTATTAATAATAAATTCACTGCTGTCTTTGGGGAGTGTGGTACTCTCAGTTCCTGGCACACAGGATGTTTCTGAGATTAATTAGTAAACATCTTCATTAATAAACCGAGATTTGCTATTAAAATGGTGACAACAGCAAAAAAGAAGAGAAGCTGCCATGTGTATGAGCATAACCGGAACAATGCTATCAGTTACACCCCCAGCAGCAGGCTGAGAGGATACATGTTCACAGCCATGAAGGGCAAACTGAGGACAGACGTCCGTACACAGTGGGTGACCAGCAGCTGCAACCAGTTACCAGGTAGACCGTTTGAGGCCAAGACTGATTTCAGAGCATCTTGATACCAGGATAATAATAATCCTTGCATTTGATATAGCACCTTATCACATCTTCGAGACGTCTCAAAGCGCTTCACAGAATATACTGCAAAGTGAATTGAGTATATATCTTGCGGGCGAAATGCGGCAGACAGTTGCGCACATCGGTGTCCCACACACAGTCGTGGATTGAGTGACCAAATTATTATTTTTTATTTGAAGGAATTATTACCCCCTGAAAAGCGATCCGCCAATCCACTAACAATCGGGTTCCTGCTTACTGCTAGGTAAACAGAAGTGTGTGGAGTAAGGAAACTTGTCCAATGTTTCGCCTTGCTGGGAATCGAACCCAGGTGTCTTGCTTGCCAGGCGAATGCTCTAACCATTGAGCTACAGGACTCCACAGGATGGTAGAGAGATGGTAGATAATTTGGAAGTTCAAGATCGAATGGACTGAAGAGCCCTGTTTAGCTAAATCTCTTTAGTGATGTATAAATGTTTGATATGTTGGCAGATTATTTGCTAATTATTTCCACTGGGCGGTGAGACTAGAGGGCATCAATTTAAAACTATTAGCAAGGGAGCAAAAGGGGGAGATTAGGATTTTTTTTCACACAGGATGTGCAATGCCTTCCTGGCTGTGGTGAATGAGGCATATTACCTTATCAAGAGTCAATTACATAGAACTACATGGAATGTAACAGACGGGAAGAGGCCACTCAACCCAAACTAGCCCTTACTGGTACTTATACATTACTAACATGATGTCTCTCCCGCACCAATCTGTTTCCTTACACATGCAGCAAGTTTCCTCTTAAATATGTTAATGTTTTCTGCTTCAACAATGAGTTCCACATTCTCACCATTGAATAAATTCCTCCTATACTCTCTTTTAGATCTGTTGCTGATTATCTTATATTAATAATAATAATAATCCTTGCATTTGACATAGCGCCTTATCACCTCTTCGAGACGTCTCAAAGTGCTTGAAAGAATTAATTGTAAAGTGAATTGACTGTATATTGTGTGGGTGAGACGCGACAGCCAGTTGCGCACAGCAGCGTCCCACAAACAGTCGTGGATTGAGTAACCAAATCATTATTTTTTTTTGTTTGGAGGGATTATTATCCCCAGAAGAGCGATCCACCATTCAACTTGAACAACCAAGTTCCTACATACTGCTAGGTAAACAGATTCAAGCATCAGGATGACTTATTGATGGGCAGGCCAGATTAGCAAGAAGATCCGAAAGGCTGGGACAGTGGCGGTCAGGATTAAGCATCAAGCAGGCTCGAGAGAAAAGCAGGATTCAATGTTATATTGAATCAATGGCAGCCAACATGCTTTGGCATCTTTTTTTGTACTCTTTAATGCAATTGAGCCAGTATCAACTTACTCCTTGCCAACAAATAAATATAACGAGATATTTTATCGAATAACATAAAATATCTCAATAATTCAGTATTTCCGCCTTCCTTGTCGAAAGGTCTTTCATTCTGTTCTGTAAGTTGTGGGACTGATTGTTGCAGGAATGAGGTTACTGATTTACTGATTGTGGCAGGAATGAGGTTACAAACTGGGAACAATTAACCTGAAATGAATAATGGGATTCCAGTGATTTGTACACAAACAAAAAACTTGCAACAACTTTCAAACCCACCCCCCCCCCGGCTGGAAAGGATTCAGTCATCTTGTAAGATTGAAAGTTGTTTATCTGAAAAAAAATCTTTCTTTATTGTAAAGCAACAACATATGTTTTGCACAAGCAAAAACATTATCTGATGAAACCTTTCACCCCATCTTCTGTTCCAAACATGTTGAAAGCCTTAAGGGAAAAGCATGTCTCAGAACAACCGAACTGAGCCCAAACGTCTTCTAGTTATTAAAACTGAAATATATTCCGTGGTTTCGAGTGTAAAGTGTAATTTGGCCCAAATTATGTAATAATTACACCAATCCTTGCTTTTGGTATTGCGTCTTTCACATCTGCATGCGGTCGGTCTCAAAGTGCTTCACTTGACTTGATTTCAAAAGAAACGGTGACTGTGTTCCTGTGAGTGATCACAAGAGCCAAGTTGCACACAGCAACGATCCCACAAACAGCCAGTGAATGATTGGTGAATGACCAAATTGGTGAATGACCAATTTTATTTGGAGGATTATTGGCCAGGACACCGGGAGCGAGAAGGCAATAGGTAAAAATGCAAGCGCTCCAGTTTCCGGGTTTGTGAAACGGAGGCATAAAAACAATAAAGGGATTAAAAACCCATATTTCTTATCGCCTTGAGCAATTGGAGATGCTTTTCAAATCTCAGAAAAAAAACGTGTTCTTAATTACGACCTCTGTAAATAGAAACTTCTGTAAATATTAAAACGGGAGAAAAGATGAATGTTTGGTAAATTTTCTCGTCCAGATTTTACACGAATTTTTTAAAATGTGCCAACCTCGGAGCAGATAAATCCTAATGGAACATTTGATGGCCCTGAAGTACATTTTGCAAGTTAGATGTTAATCAGTGCATTTCACATTCTTTCAAACCTTTCACTCTTCCTGTGTGGAGTGCTGTTCCCCGCCCCCACCCCACACCAGAAAAATATTTTCTCAATGGGCTGCCGTCGTATTTTGATTGCTCCCTTTACGGTAGCTTTCATAGATTCATAGAATGTTATGGCACAGAGGAGGCCATTCGGCCCATCGAGTCTGTGCCGGCTCTTTGACAGAGCAAGTCACTTTCACTAACCCCAATCACCAGCTTTCTCCCCATAACCCTGCAAACTTTCATGTTGGTTTATATGATACAGTCACTCCGCTTTACAGTTAAAAACCTGTGAAGCGCTTTGAGATGTCCTCCTGAGGTTGTCCTTCTAAGTGCTCCAAGATGCTGCCCTCCATTAAGGGTGGTGTATAAATGCAAGTTGTTGTTGGTGTTGATGTGAAAGGTGCTGTATCAGGTGCAAGGAGTTTTATTATTCCTGATACAAAGCAAAGCATTTAGAGATGAAATCCCATTGTCACTTCTCCAGAATATCTCAGAATTTCTACCCATCGTGCAGGACAGCGTCTCAGAGTGCTCGACAGTGGCGGAACATGACCCCGAGCCAGGGGGAGGGAGGAGGGGAGGTGACCGTAGGCACGGTCGAAAAGGAAGGTCTTCAGGCATGACCTGAAGATGGGGAAAGAAGGGAGCAAGGAAGGAAGGGGCAAGACGGAGGGATAGAGGAAGAGTCGTACAGAATCCTGTGAAGTTTCATGAGAGTGTAACCCACGCTACTAAGATTCCTGAGTTGAAAGAGTCTCACCATGAGGAGTTGTAGCTTTCTAGACATTTCTCCATCTTGAATGAGTTACATGTGGATTTTCAAATCTGTTTCTTGTGTTGAGTTGAAGCCCTCCGGGGCCTATTTTCCCCCTCAGATAGCAAAAGTTTATACAACTGCAACAATGACAAAAAAAAGAAAGAACGGGGGCTTAGATTTAGGATTATTTTAACCCATCTCGAGGTCTGATCTACTCTTAATGAGGGAAATCCTGTCTAAAATTGTTCAGAAATAGCATGTTTCAATTAGTGACATTTCAGAAACTTGACTGATGGATGGTCTATAATTCATGGAAAGGTCCACAAATAAAAGCTGTTTCACATTCGCTCCCTCCCTCCCTCCCTCCCTCATTCCAAGGAAGGTATACTTGATGTCCACTCTGTTCTAACGAAACCAATTCCTCTGCAGACAATTGCTCGAAGCATTGAGCTAATATAATATAATAATAACCCTTGCATTTGATACAGCGCCTTATCACATCTTCAAGACGTCTGAAAGCGCTTCACAGGATGCACTGTGACGTGAATTGACAGTGAATATTTTGCTGGGCAGAATGCGGCAGCCAATTGCGCCAGCTGTGTCCCACAAACAGTTGTGAGTTGAGGACCGATTTATTATTATTATTATCTTTTATTTTCCCTTGTCTGTAGGTGGCCGAGCAGAGGTGAAACTCTACACCACTCTGCCTCCTCATAAGAAGGAAGAGGTGGAGAAGCTCCTGAAGAGCTGTGAGGAGGAGGCCGAGTGGTGCAGCCTGGCTGGTTTGCTGGGCTACAACGAGAAGCACATAGACACTTTCAAGCAGGATGAATACCCCGTGCACGCCCTGCTGTCGGACTGGTCGGCCAAGGACTCGGCCACCATGGATGAACTTTGCACGGCCCTGCGGAAACTCAAGCGGGACGACATCGTCGAAAGCCTGAGCAGCGAGCCTACAGCCACCTCCGCTGTGTGACAAGGGGAAACAACGAGCAGCGACCGGCAGCCTTACTCTTCTGAGCGTTCCTTCTGGAATTGGGGAGACCAAACAACAACAAACAAACAAAACGAGAGACTGGATTGAGAAGAGCAAGCGCGTGAAGGAGAAGGGAGTTCACTCGATGCTTTATGAGAGGCCCCCTTTAATACACTGATGCATAACTTTCAGTATTGTCCTATCTACCAACTTCCCCTCCCCCCCAACCCCCCCTCTCCCACCCATGAACGAATGGACGAACGAACAAACGAAACGTCAGTGTGGACTTGTGTTTCTTCTTTTGTGCTGCTTGCAGCACTTTTTTGCTTAACAGAAAATGTCTGCAAGTATCTATCTTACAGTCTTGTAAATTGTTAGAAGCCCCCATTGCCTTTCCCCCTCCTGCCTCCCGCCACCCCCCGGCCGCCGCCCTTCCCCACCCCCCCCACTCCTGCCCGCGTTCTCCGCATGTGTATGATAGTGTTTGTGTAACTAATTCTAGCATAGTCCAAAAAAAAGCATAGCCTGGATTGTCTGGCTGATTGCCGACCAGGGACATATATGTGTCTTTTCACTGTGAAACCTCGGAAACTTCGAAGCGTATTAATTTGTATCTCAGTCTGCAATGTGACGCGACCATGGAATTTTTAACTGAAACCTGCCTTTCGCAATCCAGCATTGAGGATTGAAGTAGCCACACTCTTAACCAAGGGGTGGTCTTAAGATACACTGTTGACTACCAAGGACATAAATGCCTCTGTCGTTCGACTCGATGATCGAACCACATTAGAATAGGCTTGAGAAACTTGGGGGAACGATAGCCTGTGAAGGCAACTGATGTTGGACGTTCTCTCTGTTCGTGCATTTTTTTTCTTCCCATTGAGTTTGGAAGTGGCAGCCGGCAATGTAATAGAGACAGCATCACGGTGATTTTTCTGGTTTTCGCTCCTCGTCGCTGGGTTTACTGTTCCGAATAATCTGTTCACTCTGGACACAAAATCTGCCCTCACAGAGAAATTGTCCTGGACGTCAGTTGTAGAAAGCGGTTTATTTCAGATTAGTGGCTGTTCCATATGCTTGTATTGGGGCAAACTGGGATTGGGTTAGGGCCATATCTCTCTCTCTCCCTCTTTGGCTCTTTCTCTCGTTAATGAATTAAGTTGCTGAAAAAACCTCAGGATCTTATGAAGTGTCAACGAATCTGTTGCACGTAGACAGCAGAGGATGTCACCGCTCCCTGCTTTCCAGTGTCCTGCTTATACCCTCCACACTTTCCTCCCCCATCCATCATAACACACTCATTTATTTTCCTCGCATTGTAACACGCTCTTTCTCCAACACAACATAACACACCCATTCTTCCCCATGTGCGTCACTGACCTCTTTCAATCAGTGTTTAGAACCGAGGAGAGCTGTGTGCAGCAGAGGGACATTCCAAAAGATAGTTAGGCGTAAAAGCAAGTGGGGTGATTGACGCATGTCGTGTCTGCTGGAGCCCAAGTCATCCATCTTTAGTGAAACCGCATTCTCCTGGTCGAGTCCTATTTGACCGACCTCTATCACTTTGTCTCCACAAACATTCTTTTCTCCCACCCCCCCTCCCTCCCCGCATCACCTATGGTGTGCCCCAAGGCTCCATTCTTAGCCCCTTCTCTTCCTCATTGACATGCTCTCTCTCAGCGATGTCATCTGCAGACATCGGGTCAACTGGAATCAACGCCAATGTACTGCAGCTCGATGTTGACAACAACATTTACACAGCGCCTTTCAAGTCAGGAGGACATTCCAAGGCGCTGGACAGTCAGGGATCCGCGCCCAAGCTGGTGGTTGGGATCAGGAGGGGTGGAGGGCGGGGAGGGTAGGGGTTAGGAGGGTGAGTGAAGGCACGGTTGAAGAGGAGAGTCTTGAGATGGGTCTTAAAGGAGGCAAGGGAGGGGGCGAGACGGTGGGATTGTTGTAGCATGGAGTTCCAGAGCGTGGGGGCAGAGAGGCTGAAGGCCCACCCACCAATGACAAGACGGAAGCCAGATGACTTACTGAACCTATGCATAATCTTGGCGTCAGGTTCAATCCTCAGCTGTCATTCCTAGCTCACATCCAATTCCTGACCAGGACCACTTTCCTCCACATTGCCCACCTCTGACCGTACCTCATGCAGTTGAAACCCACGCATTCATCACTTCCCAGCTCGAGCCTTGCATTGCTCCTCCATTTCATTACTGTTATCCCAGCTCCTTGGGACGTCCTCCTGATGTGAAAGGGGCTATCCAAATGTAATCCTGTATCATATTATATTGTGTTGCTGCCACCAACCCAGCCTGGGAACAGGGAAAAACTGTCAGAAACTCAAAGGGCATTTTTACTTTACTATTGAGACACTCCTGTTCCATGTCAGTACAATTGCTTTCGGGAAAATATTCTCAGTATTAGTGAAATGTTAAGTTAAATATTCCATCTGAGGTTGTCATTGCCTGGTCCAACAATGGATGATTTACTTTCAGATTGCTGAATGTCAAACCTTTTACTAATTAATAAACTTATCAGTATTATAAAGCTACTTTATTGGAATTTTTAACACAATTCAAAAGAAAAAAACATCTACATCTCTTCTAAGCTAAAACTTTCACCCACAAAATACACAGTCGATTCACTTTACAGTATATTCTGTGAAGCGCTTTGAAGACGTGATAAGGCGCTATATCAAATGCAAGGATTATTATTATTATAAACTTATCCCCCCACTGCTTCCTATTCTCTTCCTCACGTCCACACATCTCCTTCATCTCTTTCAAGTGAGAGAATTGCTGATTTTTTTCTAACCTTCCGTGTTAATATCAATACCAGTGCAGCTCTGAGTGAAGCTTCAAGTTGCTTCCGAGCTATTGGGACGGATTATATCTCAACCTACCTACCAAATACGAGACAAGTTGGGGAAACATGACACGACACCCAAGGGAAGTATCACCAACACACAAACACAAGTGTCAGCCTGGCTCACTCTCATCTTCGAGGCAGAGGTTTGTGGGTTCAAGCCCCACGCTGGGACTTAAGTGCAATGCCGCGCTGTCCTGGGGGAGTGCTGCATTGTTAGATTGCTTTCCTTTGGATGGAACGTTAAAACAAGATCCCATCTGTGCCTGTTCAGGTGAACGTTAAAGATCTCCTGGCGCTCTTCATAAAGAAAAGGGAGTTTCTCCCGGGAGTCCTGCTTAACACTATCCTCAAATAAAATTAGTCATACACTTATTTTATGGCTATTTATGTGACATTGCCTTGGGCAAATTTCTTGTTGCGTTCACCTATAAAATACAGTCACTCCACTTTACAATGAACCCTGTACAGAGTTTGAGATGTCCTCCTGACGTGAAAGGCACTAAAACAAATGTAAGGATATTTATTATTGCATACACTCGTTATGTATAATACACATTCTCTGTGTGTAGTACACACTTTACATGTCGCACACATTTTCTGCATGGAATAATTTACATTTATAGGGCTTTTGGGCCACAGTTTCTTTCCAGTAATATTCTCTGAGTCTCATTGTGAGGTCAGGAATAAGTAAGTAGACAGTTGTTGGGACAACTAAGGCGGAAGTAGCCCAAGATTGAGGCAGGAAATGGTCATGAGGTCGGCTGCAATATGGAGAGATTTTCCTGCAAATACTTTACAATAAAATATGATGCAGAGAAACAGACGACAAAGAACAACTCACATTTATGTATCGCCCTTCATGCGGGGAGCACTTAACAATGGCGGAGAAAACAAACACTGAAACAAGGTGAGAAATAGCAGCAATGTCATTAAACTGTTGTGTAACGTGAGCCTTGACTTGAGCCCTGGTGTATTTACACAGCAGTAGGTGAGGGTGAGACTTACTTCTAACACCACTTGCTGAGCCAGCCTGAGACACTGACAGTAATGAGTTGCTGCTTAAGTAATTTATTGGCAAATGTTCAGAATTAACTGGTGAGATGTTTGTCAATAGTTACAGCATTTCCAATTCAAACACAATGCTCCATTTGAGCCAAGCAACCAGAAAGATAATTTTTTTAAAAAAAATAATTCTAAACAGGATATAAATTTAACGGACGCATCTGAAAGCAATATTATTTGTGCTAACTAGTCAAGGATGATTTAATATACTTTTGATTTTGCACTCTTAAAATTTTGATTTAACTTTTGGTTTTCCGAAGCTGTAAAATTAAAACTGATCCCTTTTGGGTTTGCTGAATACCTGGCTAAACAGCTTGTGTTTGATGTTCGCCACTCATCATTACAACAATAATAATCCTTGCATTTGATAATAGCGCCTTATCACATCGTTGAGACGTCTCAAAGCCATTCATAGAATATACTGTAAAGCAAATCCACTGTAATATTTTGTGGGTGAAACATGGCAGCCAATTGTACCCATCATTATTCATTAGATCATTATAACGCCCCCACTTTTTGTTCCAACACTATAATCTAGAACAGATCAGTGAGACGCACCTCGGCCTCTTGTGTTCACAGAAATGCTCATCGAGTTGGAATGGGCAATGGATTAACACACGGTTCTTTCATGGTTGGGAACCTTTGAGACCAGCATCGATTTGACATGGGGGAAGGTCTCGTCTGTCTGCTCGTCTGAGGGATGTGGAATCAGTTAGAGACATCTTGATGCTGTCTCAGCACAAATCTGCCTGTGATTTGGCAGGAAATTTACAGGCTCAGAGACAAGTGGAAAATGTCGCAAAGCCAGTGGGTGCTGTTGTGAGATTCAGGGCTGTGCGGTTCATTGTCGGGGAAAGCTAGAGAGTTTTACTCTCAGATATCTCTGAACGAAAGAGTGTCTTACTCCGATATCTCTGAATGTGCTCGACAATGCCAGCGAGTGTGTGAAATGAGAAAGTTCTGTTCACTTGTACCTTAACGGCCACTGTTAAGTGCTCTGGGACGCTACTCTGCGTGAGGGGTGCTATATACATGCAAGTTGCTGTTGTCGATGAGTCCCAACATTTCAGAAAAAGATTACAAGCGGCATTATTTAAAAAAAACACTTTATTCTGGTCAAGGTTAAGAGGACCAAAGCTTCTGGCAGTGAGTTCCAACTTCTCACCACCCTCTGTATCAAAAGCTTCCACTAAAACTCTCTTTTAAATCTATTACTGGCTATCTAATATTTACACCTCCTTCTTATGGACTTGCGAGCAAGTGCAAGCAATCTATTTATGTTGACCTTAACCAACCGTTTCATAATTCAGGTCCCCTTTCAATCGTCTCATCTCTCGGAAAAAAAAGGCCCTGATAATTATGGCCATCTGTGATTCCCTCCGTGCTCATGCCCTTTGCATGCAGTTTGCCCATGGTGCACAATAGACCCCGAGACCTTGATTTGAACGGCGTATTCCAAAATAGCAACATTTGTCAG